GTAATTCATTGGACATTTCTGCTAAAAATAAGCAAGTATTATATTTTATTTAAAAAAAAATTTTTTTAAACTTAATTCATCCTTATAAGCTTTTAGGTAATATGATACAGGAAGTTGAAAAAGCTGGGCATGATAATTTACCTGCAAAAAGTGTGGTATTTTATTCTCGCAATAATGTAAAAACTTTGTATAAAATAGTTGCAGGAAATCAAGAAAGGTATGTATCATATATTTATTATTGTATAATATCTAAAATCTCAAATAAATAAGTTTTGTTAGTTTACAGGATATTATATACGAAGATGAAATAGCACGAAATAACAAACTTAAAGAAAAGCAAAAAGAAATTTGAGAGGTCGTATTTTATTGTGAGTCAAAATATTCTTGTAGACACTTAGCACTTGCAGCATATCATGCATGGGATGAAGATTCTTTGCCACCACCATGCAATAATTGTGACAATTGCCAGCTACAAGTAAAGATAAAGCAGTAACATGTGATCTAAAAGAATGTACTCTTTTTATATTAGATGTGACAGAGGAACTTATTGAATTAGGCTATAAAGGTAGGATCAATCGTAGTGATATTATTGATATTTTTTGTTGCGCCAAAACTATTCATATTACATCATGTAGATTTGACCAACTGAGAACATATCAAAAAGATTATGAAAGACGACCAGTATTAAAATTAACAAAAGATGAAGCAAAACACTTATTTGATGACCTAGTAGTTCGTGGAATAATTGTAACTGATATTATTATGTGTTGAATCAAATCAACATCAAGCATTCTGACCTTCTCATTTCTAGCTATTGGGGTTGCTGATGGTGTGCACGCAAGTGCTCATATGACAGATTTTATTTATTTTATCAAACAAAGAAAAGGTGTAGAAATTGCATAATGTTATGAATAGGTTTGTTTTACAAATAAACAATCACAAACATTTATTTTCTAAAAATTTGATGTGAAATAAATTTAATTTCATATGCGACATAAATTATATATTGGACATATTTTTTTATTACATTTTTCTAATTATATATATTCAATAAGTTATCTTGTAATTGATAACTATTCATCTCGCTCTATTTAATAAGCATAAATCTGATAACTCCACCAATAAACATTTTGTGAAGCAGTTTCTAATGAAGAGTAATAGTTTTTACAACAGAATGTTTCTTGATAGTATATTCATGGACACCTGGATTGGTCTGTCAGTAAAATGAAGTATAAATAAGATGGTTAGAAGATAAGCTACACAACTGCATATGACTGAATTATCCTAGATGCACGGCTCTCTAAATACATAACCCCTCTAAATGCAATCAAAATCTGGTCCAAATATATATACTCAACTTCCACGAATGCACTTTTTCTTATTGTCTCCTAAATACACATTGTTAATAGTTTGGTTCCTATATAGTGTATTTAGAGAGGTCTGACTATAATCAATATCGACTTACTAATAATATTTCTAAAAAAGTCACCTTGTAACATTAAATTCTGAAGGTTGGTTTCACTTGTCGTAATTGTACGTATGTACGTAGCTGAAGTATTTTGCTTATATATATATATAAATTAAAATGATTTACATGTGATTATGGATTGTAATTAGCCAATCATAACAGCACAACTTCACATAATTTTATTTATGTTGATCAAAATGTTTTGCCAGCAAATGCATATAACCACAAACTGTACCCTTAAGAATTATAAATCTTTTTTATAATTTACTGTGTTAATTTTGATAATTTTACTACCATTAGAATTATAATAATATTTTCTGTAATTTTTATTAGAAGACTAAATAAGATTAGTATAATAAAATAAGAATTTTATTTTTTATTACTATAGCGATATATTGCTACTTCCTGATGTTTAGTTGTCATATTGCATGATGTCAGAGTTTCAATATTCAAACTTTGGCTATGATTAATAATATAAATTTTATCTATATATTACTAATCTTGAGTAGAGTTTAATATTGAAACCCAACTTCACATTATATAACAATTAAGTTTCAGAATTTGGTTTTTAGAATTTTGATTTTAGGATTTTGATTTGCTTAGATCTGGAGTAGTGATATATTATTATAGCAATAAATTACAAAGTCTATAAAATAATTAGCTATAATTGAAACTTTTTTTTTTAATTTTAAAAGGTGAGACCATGCCTCTAACTTTATTGAAATTCAATTGAGTTCCTTTACATGAATTA